AATACAAAAGATTTGATTTTGTAATTTGAGAAATTCCTATAGTGGATTTTGTGATTGTGACTCAACACAGAAAGTTAGAAGGGTCTTTGAGTAAAGCAAGGTAATTTTTTTTTGAGATATTCTATGTATAGATACATATATTTTGAAGATGTCTTAAGCTTTCTAACAAACCAAAAGAACCATTAGTTCTTAGCGAATAGGTAAACTATACTGGCTGTCTAAAGATCACTGAGCCAGTGCCTTTTCCAAGAAGTTACCTCCCTTGTTCTCAGAGCAGAACCTCTGCTAGGAATGTGCTAGATAAGATAAATGGCAATTATGAACAGTTGTAATTTTTGGATTCATCCTTATGGTTTCTCAGCTAGCATGCATTGCTCAGTCAAAGCATTCTTCATGCACAACTCTTTATTTCTTTCAGGTCATTGTAGATACTTGCTTTTTTTCATAGTCTTACTGTTATGGTAGAAAAGGCATGTGTTTTGACATTAGGTTTAGGTTTGAATCCTGTCCCTAGCATTGTGTCTTTGAGTAAGCTACTTGACCTCAGTTTTCTCAACTGTAAAATGAGAATGTTGCTCATGTTTTAGCAAGGACTCACTAAAGTGATGTGTGCCTGCTATAAAGTAGGCAATCATGTAAGTGTTCTTTTCCTCTACCTTATTGCTTTGTTAATTAGCATTTGTGTTCTGGGGAGAACAGAAGAAAGAAAAAGTAGTCAAAATGTAAGAGAAGAAATTTGCACTATTTTTATTTTAAACAAGTAGCCATGATGTCTCTGTTCACGTTAATAAAGAAAAAAATCGATTCCTTATAGTTGTTTTGTTTTACGTGAGATCAAATTAGCATGACTCCCTGGTTTTAATTTTTAGAAAGGAAAGACTAGGGATGGTTTGTACAAAGTTACTAGGCTGAGAGTATGAATGAAGCTGTTAATTATTAAGAAGGATGAAAATATGGGCAATTTGTGAAGCTGGAGGTGTATATCTGGCCTCTTGTCTTCTCAGTGAAGTTACAAGTGATCTGTTGTAAAAAGTAAGGAGGCCTGGAAAGAAAAGCTGTGGTCAGGAGCAAGTTGAGATGAATTAAAACATGAACAGCAGCATGGAAAGCTAGGCTATCTTGCTGTAGCATTGACTCTTTTGAGTTTTACTTCTCCATTGAATGTGATTGTAATGTACTTTTTAGAAACGCTAAATTAAAGCTCATTTGGTTCTTTGGGGGCTGCAATTCCAGTAAATCAAAATCCATCATACAAAAAAATAGTCATTCTTGTTTATTCCCCAAAGTTATATATTTCTGTCCATTTCTCCATACCTACAATTGTTAATTCATCTAGCAAATGCTAATCAAGGTATGATTTTATTCTAAATGAGTGACCCATAGTAAACAAGAAGTTTCTTTTTTTAAAAATTATCCCTTGCCTTTTTATAGCACTTAAAGTTTACAAGAATAGTTATGAAGTCTTAGGAAGCCTTCCCTTAAGGACCTTAAGTTCAGAAACTAGTTAACCATCAAGTTACAGTGTGGTGAATGCAATAATAAAAAAGAAAATAAGGTATAATACTTTAGTTTAGGTTAAGGAAGCAAATGAAGGAAAATTATTCATTCTGCTTCAGTTGATCTTTCTCATTGTAAAAGAGAACATGAAGCCCAAACCACTGTGTTGACTTTGAACACAATAGAAAACTTGTTACTCTCATTGAAACAATTTTCTTCAACCACATTCTGGGATCTTAAAATAGAATAGCTTCTTATCTGCTTAAGACTACCTACCATATTGATATCTTTATTGTAAATCAGGCTGTTTAAAGCAGTGGCTCTCAAACTTTAGTTTTTATCAGAATCACCTGGAGAAGTTATACTAGACTTCCTGGTTCCTACCTCAAGAGTATCTAATTCAGTAAGTCTGGGGTAGGCCCAAATACTTACATTTCCAACAAGTTCCACTAATGCTGATGCTGCTGGTCCAGGAACCGTACTTTGAGAATACTGATTTAGTTAAACTCAAAAGTTTTTAATGGCTTCCTAGTATAAACCAGTAGGTTTCGAATCCAGTTACTATCCTATTGACTCTGTCAGCATGCATTTGAGCGCCTGTGTGCCAAACACTGTGCTTACCCTTCACAGAGGTGAAGATGATAAGCAGCCTCTCTCCACGAGCACAGTTAACAGTGGCAGTATTGTTTAAACTCTTAATCATCACAGGAATTTATGAATCAGGGCATATAATCCTCCTTTTAGATGAAAAAAAAAAAAAAATGAAGCCTAGAAAGGTTAAATAATTTCTCAGAATTCACACAGTGAGTACATGGAGAAGCCAGAGTTTGCTAATCTGCTTTGCTGGTTANCACACAGTGAGTATATGGAGAAGCCAGAGTTTGCTAATCTGCTTTGCTGGTTATGCACTATAAAAAGTTTGTCAAGATTTGTGGACCACAGGAGGGATGGAGTAATTAGTTTTACCTTAGGAAATCAGAAGGCAGCACAGAAAAGATGGCACTGGAGTATCTAAGGAACAAGTAGAAGATAGCCAAATGAATTGGAACTGTCAGCATTTCCAGTTGAGGGAGCAGTTTCTGCAAAGGCATGAAAACCTGAGAGATTGTGTTGCACAGGCCGAAAATAGTTATGTAAGACCATGACACAATAGGCCAGATGGAGTATGAGAGGAAAGGGGACTATAGAAGGCAGGGTTTGAGGTCATGAAAGGTTTTGTATCCTGGGCTAAGAAGTTTTAAAAGTAGAATTAGGTTCTACTATTCTTTCTCTTATAACTTTCATCTCTAAGCAGTGGTTCTCACAGTGCATATGATATGGTCTGTCAGGCAGCAGAATCAGCATCACCTGGAAACTTGTAAGAAATTAAAATTTCTACTCCCCACCCCAGACCTACTGTATCAGAAACTGAGGTGGAGCCCAGCAGTCTGTGTTTTAACAAGTCCACAAGATGACTCTGGTGCTAAAGTTGGAGAACCACTGCAGTAGGTTATAGAATTCTCAAGTAACAGCCTTCAAAATAGCTAAAGGTCACTATAGTGATAGTAATTGTATCTGTGACTGACTTAATTCTGTTAGAGTACAATACTTAACAGAATTGAAATATTAATACCTTTTAAGGGACACATATTTTCAGCATGATTTATTTATGTTTTGAAAACCTGTTCCTCTGTGTTCCTCTATTGCTGTTAAAAGAGGGCTGAGTCAAGACTAGAGTTTATTAAATCAGCAAAGAATAGCATGCTAATTATTGTTTTTTAGCTAAGGGAATGGTTTGGAAACTTACTAATTTTAATTATCAAAAAAGAGAAGCAATGAACCCTTTTTTAAGAGTTTGGGTTTTTTGTTTTGGCTTAATATATAAATTTGGTGCTAAAATTAGCATTTAAGATGTTTTATTTAAAACGTGTTGAAAGAACTGAATGTATTTAAGTAATGAAATGACTAAAACTAATTCAGTTTTTCCTTGACATAGAAATAAAGAATGTAGAAAGTATAATCTAAGATTCTCAGGCAAACTTGAATCTAAATGCCTGCCACTATCTTTTTACCAAGTCATGGCCAATATAAGTATTTATTAATTTATATATAATATATATGAAGGATATATATGTGTGTGTGTGTGTGTGTGTGTGTATCCTTTCCAGTTTAGGTATAAGAAGCCTTTTTTCATCCTATAAAAAACAGCAGCACAAGGTGAAGCAGTATCTGCAGTTAACGTGGTTAATGCGCAGATAAACGAGCTTAGTGTTTTCCGTGTAGTCATTCAGAGTTTTGAGGGTTTAGAAGTGGCAAGTCCCATGAGGCACTGACACCAACCCCTTCCTTTTACAGATGAGGAAACGGAGGTCCAGGGAAGTTAAATAGTTGATTTGGTAATGGTCACCTAGGTAGTAACTAGCAGCACCAGGATTATGGCCAGGCCTACTTGAACTGTAATGTAAAAGGCACTACTATATCAGACATATTTCTGAGCCCCCCTTTGGTATAACATGGAGGGTCCACATCAGCTAAAGTACAGTAGTCTTCAGATATATTGGCATCTAGATTTTCTTGAGGGATATATTTTATGAAGAGTATTTAGTGAAATTTTATATAAAAGTCACCTAAAGACCTTTTTTGTATTGATACAGTGGACTAAAGTATTGGATTTGTCTTTATATGAAAACCTAATAACTGTTCTTCAAAATTTATAAAAACACCAAGAAAAGGATATAGATCCTTGCTACTCTCATTATTTCACTTAATACATGGGAGAACGTAAACTGCCAAAGATGACAGTTATTCAGCCTTATGTGTCACTGTCATACAAATGCTAAGCTGATGTTTGAACTTGGGATGTACTTACCTGCTAGACTACTTCCAATTATTTCCAGGAAAAACTGGTCCAAACCACATACCTTAGTAGGTGATTTTGCCAGCTGGTAACCTACAATCAAAGCTTGTAGATCTGCCAGAATGTTGAGTTCCTTGTTAACCAACACTTCAAGTACTGTTTGCCCTAAAGCCCTCTGAATCATTTTTATAAGCCAGTTTTAAAAATTTTAAACCAGATGTTAAAATATCAAATCTATAGGAAAAAAGTCATCATCTGAAGTTTAATGCAATAAGTAACTAATGGGATTTCCACCTGAAAGGCAATTTAGGATATATAGTTGGTAAATGAAGTTTTAAGTGGTGTGGAGAGGGTACTGCTCATTCAAGATTTACCTTTTTAAATTTACTGAATTGAGAACTGAATAAAATTGGGAGTTACTTTTAAAGTAGCATATTTTGCCATAGGCAAATTATGAAAGTTAGAACTATAAAGGATATTTAGGAGTCATCTATTTACTGAGACCTTCCTTTTTCAAAATGAGAGCTCTGAGTACTGAAATTGTGACAATAGACTTAATAAATTACTATTTTTTTATGTAAAACAGATAGATGTTCTTATTTTAAGAGTTGGAAAGGAGATTACATTTTTTTAGAATAATTTAATGAAATATTGTAATTTTTTCCAGTGCATCTGGGGGAGGTGGTGTAGCCATTGACAACAAAATAGAACAAGCAATGGTAAGTAAAAGTGTATAGTCCTCTCATTTGTTAGATTGGTTGTATAGAGCATTTGGTTTTTATCAATTTTAAAAACAAACACCTAATTTCTTTAAACCAAGATGACCAAAGCATATTTTTTGATAATGAGATTTAGTTGAAGATGTTGGAACAGTGAGAATTTTTAGTCTAAAAATACCAGTGGAGTAATATTTTCCCCATTTGAACATCTCACATTTCATGTATTACCATTGATCCAGGCCGTTTTGGGGGATATACATAATCAAAATGCATTATGTGCCCCCAAATATTTCAGCATCAAAAATAGCTTAGAGACGAAAGAGCATTAAAATGAAAACTTAATTTAGAAATTTTTGTCATTCTTTGGTCATTTACAGACACTGTTTTACTCAGTTTTAATAAATAGACCTGTTTCTGTTGATTCTGGTTCTGATTTCTATTACTATCAAAAATTTTTGTTCCCTTATAGATATATTGTTCATATTATATAAAATATTTTTATTCAAGTGTATTAAAACTGTAGCAAAGCTATAAATATAAATAAGGACCATTAGTCTCAAACTTGTAAAAGAACAAGGTTTTAAAGTTGGAAATTGCAGATCACCTTATCTCTTAAAATCAGTACTATATAAAACTAGTTTAATATCAGACAGTATGATATCCTTTTTTCTCTTAATCTAACATGTAAGCATGTGGTTTTCAATTTTTTTTTTTTAATTCTAAGCTTATAATTGACAATTTAAGGAGCTAGTATTTTTGGAAATCTCTCCAGACTTTGGAAAGAAAATCCTGGGCTTGCTGCCCTAGTTGGAAACTGGATTTTTTCTAACCCATTTCCCTTAGGGCCAGTCAAAATACAGTAGAAACATTAAAAGCAAGAGCAGGAAAACTAATACAAAAACACCTTATGTTTTTGAAGTAGTAGTAGGCTAGAACCAAATAGCAACACTTTTTCCTTTCTTTCTGACGTTCTAATTTTGTTTTTCACAGGATCTGGTGAAAAGCCATTTGATGTATGCAGTAAGAGAAGAAGTGGAAGTTCTAAAGGAACAAATAAAAGAATTAGTTGAAAGAAACTCTTTACTTGAACGAGAAAATGCACTGTTAAAATCTCTTTCAAACAATGATCAATTATCCCAACTCCCAGCCCAACAGGCCAATCCTGGTAGCACTTCTCAACAGCAAGCAGTGATAGCACAGCCTCCGCAGCCAACGCAACCTCCACAGCAGCCGAATGTCTCCTCAGCATAAAGCTTTCTTGCCTCATTAAGAAACAAACTGAAAGCAATCTATCCTGTGTGCCACTGGTGTTCTTCCCACTTTATACGAAAGCAAGTAGCCATGCTTCGGTTGTGTGTTTGGCCTTTTCAGTATTAGACAATCATTCTACAAGAGCTTTTCCTCTCTTTGAGATGTCATGCAGCGCTGTTGATGTCCAGTTTTATGTCATCAGTGCACAAGGAGAATACTAGATGGGGTTTATTAAAGCAAAGTCTGCATTTCACCTGGTGCGATGAGCGGGGTCCTTTAAGAGCTTTGGTGGCTCTTCCATGTGTCTGTCACCCATGGATTTACCCTGAGCCTTCCTATAATATTATAAATAACAGTTCATCTAAAGAGCCACTTTTCTTTCAGTATCAGTAACATTTATCAGTTTTCATTTATTTGTGTTTTATTTATTACAGGGCTGCTATTTTCATAATGTACATGAACAATGTCACAGAACTTTTTTAATTTTTTGAATAATTATAAGTATCAGTAAAGGAATTGAAAGACAGGATTGCATTTAACAGATAAAACGTTTTGGCAATAATTGAACAAAAGAATCCTGGCATATTTCTAACACTAATGGCAATTTACCTTCGGTATTTATTTTTAGTAGTAAAGACCCAGCTTGAATGTAAATTTTGTATAGTGTAAGTATGAAGAACATAGTGCAACTGTACAGGTAGTCACCAGTTATTGTGATATAATAAATAATTGGGCTATTTTGATGAAGAAAACTTTGTTCATTTGTTTCTACTTTCTAATAGAGAAATTGCCACGATTCCTCTGCTTTTCAACATTTCGTATGACTTTTTTTGGGGGGGGTGGGAATAAAAAGCTGTGAAATTGTTCAACCTACTTTGTAACCAAAGAAGCAAAGCTGTGTAATGGAGTTTTTTGTTTTTGTTTTTGTTTTTTTTTTTATAATGCACATTCTTTATGTATTTTTATTTAGTGTTTTCTTGGTCACAATTTTCTTTGCTGTCTAGCATGATCTGCATGACCTATACTCTTTGAACCACTTTCGTACCTCATGTTTTTATCCAGCACTCTTATTGTAATATGTACTAGTCTGTGAACAATGTCAAATAAAAAAGAGCGAACAGGTAGTATGGTGGAGCAGAGCTAGTGTACTATACACTAGTTGTAAAATACAAAAAAAAAAAAAAAAAAAAAAAAAGG